ATATTTTTATATCATATTCATCTTAACAATCAATCAAAACATTCTATGATATTAATGAAATATTGGTTAAGTAACTACATAATTTCCAACACAAAATTCTTAGCTCATCATATACAGATAACAAATAAGAAGATTGTTTATATAATACATTACAAACTTTGGAAAAATGTTGGAAAAAAAACAAAGGTTTAGATACAACCCTTTTAGTGAACTCCTCCCATGATTCCTCCAAGTTTCCTTTGATGAAATTTCCTAATTGCCATGAACTTTGCTTCCAAAATGAGCTAAGAACTAAACAAAAGAAAGAAAAATGAAAGCAAGGAAAAAAATAGAGAGAAAAACGTGCTACAGGGAGAGAGTGATATGTTTGGAGTGTTTTTTGGTTGATTTTAAAGGATAATTAGAGATTTCAAAAATATCCAAAAATATCTCCTATTAAAAAAAACAAGGATAATGCAAACTTATCACTTAACTAAGAAGTAAGCTTAGTTAAGTGGCTAAAATCACAAGAAAATATTCAACTTGATAAATTGCACTCCAAGTCCTCCAACGTTTTGGCTTGTGCACTTTGGTCCCTAACTTCACATTTGTGTACACTTTTAGTCTTTTTTCTTTTCCTTTTGCCTCGTTCACCTTCTTATCGGGGTTTTTTGCCTAGAAAAGTGAAAATTACACAATTATGCATAGAAATGTACTCAATTTCAATTACATTTAAGTCCGAAAAGTGCTTAATAAGTGTGTCACTTATCAATTTTCTTCCAAGATTGAACAAATTGTTCCAGATAAAGTTGATAAATGGGCCCAATGAGGAACCCGACAAAGCAAAATCATCTGTATCAGCATGAAAAAATTACAAGGTTAAACTGATCCTAGGACCTAATTCTATTTTTGTTAATTGAACAATAGATACATCAGCCATGTTGAATCATCCTCTTAAATTATCCTTTGGATTCCCAAATTGAGTTTGGACAGGTATTTCGCCTTTCATATTGAACAAGTTTTCAACAAATGATCGTGGGTCCATTTGTGAATAATAGAAATTGAATGTTGAAGACTTGGCCCCTATTTGACACTCATTTTCTTCTTATTCTCTTTCTCATTTTTTTCTCTTTTTTCATTTCAACCACACATTCTATCAATAACATAATATTATACATAAATCCAAAAATTTTTATTACTTTTTAACCACACATTCTTTTATCAATCACTATTCCAGAATTTACTTTTTCTCCAAAATGGGTGTCAAACACATCCTTGGAGTAAAATGCAGAAATGTAGAATTGAGAAATGAAT